CTTGGGAGATAGCATTGCATAGTTCTAATTAAGAAACACCAAGCAATTATATAATAACTGCATCGGTTCTAATATAGTTGTTAAGCAAATTTGTCTGTGTGCAGAGCCCACACTAAAAAAAAAATTATTTCTTTTTATAAATTCGATGTACCTTAGGCCTAAGTTAGAATGTGACCTTTTTTAACTGTTGTCGGGATTGCTAGGGCAAAAACTCATATATTTCTTGAATATGAAATGTCTTATACATCATGCAGTGACCTTATATGGATAGGAGGCATATAGTGAGGTTATGCATGTTCACGGGTTGATTTCACAGTAAATGTAATGCATGAAATTTAGTTTTTTATTTAAGTGGTGAGAATCAAAGTGTTATTTAAATTTAAATTTAAATTTAAATTATAATAAAATCACGTATGCTAATATTCTATGTTTTCTCCTCTAAAAAAAAATATAATAGAGAAGTTACAAGAAAGGTTATTGTTGATATAAATGTCTCTATATTAATTTGTATAAGAGGGTACCACCTCATAGAGCCAATTGCCTCCTAATCCATTTGCTTCTTTATTCTAATAAAATTTTTAAAAGAAAGATAGAAAAGGGGGAAAAGTTGGGTAGTGCAAAATTACATGTTAATGACATATTAAAAAGACTTTATACCTTGTATAATGTGGAAACATTAATCTTTTACTTAGTTTGAGAAAAACAGAGGTGATAAAGCAGAAATTTTTGTAAGTTCAATTTCAATTTAAAAAAACCGACAAATAAGGTCATAAAATTTTAATAAAGAGATAATTAAAAAAAGAAAAATCAATTACAAACTTTCAACCCTATTTTTTCATTTTAAAAAATGAACTGGTTAAAATATAAATAATACCCCATTTATTAGTATTATAAGTTATTTTTAACTAAATCACATCTCCATTAAGTTAATCAAGTGTCTTTAAAATTATGTGTTCTTTCTATATTTACTTTTATTAAATAAAGCTCTCAATTAGAAAACCTTATAAATTATTCCCTTAATTAAAGGTTTTTTTTTTAAAAATTATTAATTGCACTTTAAAAGACCCAAAATACCTTATATTTTTTTAATATCTTATTTAAAAAAATCCTTATATTTTGGGAGGGAGTATGTAAAAAAAAAAAAAGATATTAACCATCATATTTAACATTTGAGAAAGTACAAAAACATTGTAAGTTATCACCCATACATGTTAAAAAAAATAATCATTTTATTTTAATTTTTTTATTCCTTTACATATTGAAAATATAAATCACATTTTATTTTATTTTATAATCCTTCACCAATGCATAATAATTTATTACTTCGTAAATAAATTTTAAAAATGTTAATATAAAAAATTTAGATTACAAAATTTTGTTACCCAGAATGAATTAAAAGTTTTCACAATATATTTTATTTCAGAATGTATTAACCCATACACTAAGTGTTTTTATAAATCATTGAAAATTAATAACTAATTTCAATTATACATAAGTTGAAAAATAAAACATAATTTCATAACCTTTAAAAATAAATATAATTTTAAAAATGCGATTAAAAATAAATTTTTATGCTATTAATTTTGTAAAAAGTATGATTTTAAAAGCTGCACAATATTTTTACCTTAGAGTTACAGGAAAATATTTTTACTGTACATGCACAGTAAAAATCATTTACTTTTTTATATAAGTGGAAGATAGGTAGATAGTCTTGGACTCATGGTTCCAATCTCCACTCGAACTGCAATTTTTTTTTTTTTATCAGCACTTAATTCATCCGTTCTAGAAAAAAAGTAGTTTTTCTTCTCAGAGACATAAATCAAGTTTAAGGGAATATTATGTTTTAGACATACAAAAGTTCACTTTGAGCATGAGATTCTATGTTATATTAAATTAATAATTATGTGGCTTAGTATTAATCCATTAATGAAAATATTTAATTTCATACTTGTAACTAATGCATTGTATGGCTTGTGTGCATTGACAAGTGAGTTAAAGTTGTTGCATCAGCGTCCAAATGTAGTGTCAAATGGTAAGGCCTATCACGTTATTTTGGACGAGCGCCAGTGAAAAAGTTAGTTTATGTGATCAAGATTAGATTTGATAATTAGAACGTTGGGACCTTGACTTGTGAATCCACAATGGTGGTAGGAGTCATGTTTCATAGAAGAATTAATATCTTGTGTGTATAGGAAACTAAATGGGCCGGTGGATAAGCATATTGAAGGTTTCAAGCTTTGATACATAGTGAAAGAAAGCACACAAAATGGGGTGGGTATTATTGTTTGATGAGAGTGGAAGAAGAATGTGATATAAGTTAACAGAGTTGAAAATAGAATTGTTTCCTTAAAAGTGAATATTAGACATTAGACTATCAATATTATTAATGTTTATGTACCTTAAGTTGGGGAAAAAGCTAATATTAATGAATTGTTTTGGGAAGACTTGAAGGGGTGATTCAAAGCATACCACAATGTGAAAAAAAAAATTATTGGAGGAAGCTTTAATGGTCATGTCAAGAGAGAGGAAGGTAATTAATTATACAAGGGTGCACAGTGATTTTGGAAAGCTAAACAATGAATAAAAATCTAATCTTGATTTCTCCTTGGTGTATGATTTCAAGATTGTCAATGTTTATTCCAAAGAAAAGAAATGAACATCTCGTCACTTATAAAAGTGGAGCCTTAAGGCTATAGATTGATTTTTTTTTAGTAATTAAGAAACATGGATAAAAGATTATGTGAAAATTGTAAGGTGATTCCTGAAAATGGTGTCACAATATGATGGAGTCCTTATTCTTGATGTGTATTAAGAGTAAAAATCAAAACCATTGACAAGTAGTACACCTAAGGATTAGGTGGTAGTAGTTAAAATGTGAGAAGTAAGAAATTTTCAAGCAAAATCTTTTGGTTGAAAGAATTTGGGAGTCTCGAAGGAGTGCTAGCATCTTGTGAGAGGATTTGAATAAGAAGGTAAGAAATGTTGCTAAAGAAGTTTTGGAACAATAAAAATGTTTTGGTCCGAGAAATAAGAAGTCTTCATGGTGGAAGAGAATGTACATGAAAAAAATCAAACATGAGAAGAAATGTTTTATAGCCATTTTTTCATGCAATAATGCTGAAAATTGAGAAATGTATCATTTGGCTAAGAAAGAAATTAAGAAAGTTATGAGTAAAACTCATTTTACAGCATTTGAAGAGTTTTATAAGGGTCTTGAGACAAAAGATAAAGAATAAGAGAAATTGTGGGAAAGAATGATTGAGTGTAGGTTGAGATTGGAGACTGGTATTTTAAGAATCAATTTGATTTCATACCTGATAGGGTGACCACATAATCGATTAATCTACTAAGAGGATTAATGTAAAACTATTGAAGCAAAAGTAAATATTTACATATAGTTTTCATTTATTTGAAAAAAAGCTTATGGTTGTGTATCGAGAGAAGTACTTTAAAAAGTATTAGAAAAGAAAGGAATTTGGGTTACTCATATTAAAGCTATATAAGATACGTATAAGAGGCAACAACTAGGATAAGAACGTCTGGCTATAAAATAAAGGATTTTCTTATAAGGATTGCACTGTATTAGGGATCATCTTTGAGTTTTTATTTGTTTAACCTGGTTTTAAATGTTTTGATTGAGAATATTTGAAAGGAAATCTCCAAATGCATGCTTTTTGTGGATGGTATAATTCTTATTGTGGAGACAAGAGAAAAGATTAAATGCAAATTTGAATTATAGAGAAAGACTTTAGAATCAAAAAATTTTCGTTTGAGTAAGAGTAAGATGGAATATTTGCATTAAAATTTTAATAAGAGGTCAATTAGTAGTAATTTGAAATTGAGGTTAAGAGATCAAATTATACTTTAAGTGAAAAAAATTTAAATATTTGAGAGTTATTATTCAATATGATGGGAAAATTCATGAGAATGTTATGCATAAAATACAAGTTTGGTAGTTTAATTGGATAAAGACTAAATTTGTTATTTGTAATTGAAATGTACTTAATAAATTTAAAGAGAAGTTTTATCAAACTGCTATAAAATTAACTAAATTATATGATAGTGAATGTTAGACTTTAAAAAGACAATAGGAACATAAAGTTGCAATAATAGAGATAAGAATGTTGAGATAAATATACGAATATACACGAAAAGATAAAATCCTAAACGAGCATACACAAGACAAGGTTGGCATGACATCTACTAAAAAAAAAATGGTACGAAATCATTTAAAATAGTTTGGACATATATAGAGAAGACTGTGGGAGACATATGTGAGAAAAGCTGAGTGGATAATCTTGAGTCTTGTAAAAAAGGATAAGGAAGATCAAAGAGAATGCTTGTATAAGTTGTCAAATAAAACTTCTTAATTAACAATATTTTTAAAAACTTGATTAACGATGGAACACAATGACTTTGCTAGTAGAATAAGGCTTATTGTTATTATTACAGTACTAATTAGTCCTAATTTAATATTAAATTCTTAAAACAAATTAGACCCTGTTTCTATGTGATCTGAGAGGTCGGACCATGCATGATTTCTTTCCAACCTACATTTCCTTAAAATTGTCAACGGTGCCCTATCACGTTCTAACAATAATAGGAAAATATGAGAAAATAATGTTAATATTATAATACTACAAGGTTTTTTCATATAACTTTTTTTTTTAAATGAGCGTAACATATAATTTTAATATATAAGTTAATCAATAAAGACCCTAACAGTCCGGAAAATCAATATCCCTGTCTCTGTTCGTCAAAATCTAGGGGAAAAGAAGATCAAATCCTCTCTTTTTATTTTTAAATTTTTATTTTTTAAGCAACTATGATTCCTCATCAGGTATGTATGTATATTGTTCATAAGTCTATTATCCCAATCCTCCATTCTAAGTATAAACATATGATAAAATTCGTGGCTCTGAACTTACTGCTAATTAGCATGATTACTTACTGGGGGAGGAATCCTTTTTTCCACTTCAGAATCAGCAAAGACACAGAAAAGTCTGAACTCTTGAGAGAAATTCCCCATTTTGATAAAAGCATATTACAAATTGTAAAACATTGTTCTACTCTCATTACACAACACCCCGCTAACAGACATACATCTTACACCAAATTACAGGTTCCAAATGGCCATCAATGGTACTGAAACCACCAAGGCTGCTGTCTCTCTGTTAGTCACATTTCTTATCTTCCGTCTTGTAGGCCCCTCCATTCTGCTCAACTCCATTTTTCGTCTCCTCCTTCAACTAAATCAAGTCACCAAGTACTAATTACAGACCAAACCCAAAAATAATATATATATATATATATATAAATAAAGAATAATCAATGCAGAATATTAATCTTTGTTTGCCTGTAAATCTAGGCATATTGAGCTTAAATGTTAAAAAAGACAAGGGATTTTACCAAAATTGACAAGGCAAAAATTGAATTTTCTTTTACCTTCCGAATCATTTTCCTATGGTACCTATAACCCTGTGAAATAAAGAAAGGAGAATTATGTAAAACATTTTTAGATGTTGAAACAAAATTATGCAGTTTTGCATATAGCAAGAAAATTCCAGGATATCAGCATATAACCGTATAACCTTGTCAGTCCCATAGATGTAATCACAGTAAGTGAAAACTGAAGCGAAGTTGCTATGGCTTTGTCCTCCAACATAATGATGGTAATCATGATGCTCTGCGCCAGCATAAAAGGGAATATATTTTGTGGGGCTCCAGGGTATGTCATACCTAACAAGAAAATAAGCATCAAGAAGGGATGGATGATCAGAAACCAAAATTGCAATAAGAACACCAGAGATGAATGATGCTGCAGTTCTGTTTAAAGTCATCTCATCTGAATCACAACAGGCAAGCCATAAAGCACTCATGAGCAGTTTCTGCGAGGGTATCCACATTGTATCTCTATCAAGTGCGTATCGGTGTAGCATGCAAATGTACTATATAACTACCTCGTATTGCGTTAGTTTGGGCTCAGAAAAAAAATTCAACAAAAGTAGTGGGATTGTTGGCCAGGAATAATCATTACTTATCAGTTCAACCTTCAAGCTTTGCACTCACACCGCATTTTTCAAATAAAAGTTATCAGAAAAATTTTCTTGTCGAGGGACTTAAGCATGTCATAATTAATTAAGGTTTGACGTGGACAAATTAGTTACTTTGAATGCAATTTGACATCTGGCTATCCAGACTAATTTCAGCACACAATTTTTCTTCTAATGGGCTCCTTTAGAAGAACTTCGCATCCCGATAAACTACAAAGGACCCACAATTTCATAATGCAAGTTTTTTCTTCAGCATCAATTTCCCAACCTTGTTATAACAAGTTCTAATTTGTTCAAAAGTTGACAACGGAATGATTCTAGAAGACAAATTTGCTCAACCTTCTCACCAGATTTCTACAATTGCTGTTTGAAACAAGCTATCGTAAATATTATATTTCGGTTTCCCTTAATGCAACAAACTCGTGAGGACCTTCACGTGACGGATGAAGAAGAAGCAAATAGAAGCGAGAGCGAGTGGGCACATTCAATGAAAAAACTGTGAGAAAAACTCATCATGAGTATTCTCGAACTTCCATTCATACCACTGCTAAGAGATATTTAATATATTCTATTCTTAAAAACAAAAGTATGACAATAATTAGACATAACAGAGGCATTAAGTGAAAGTAACAGGCACAGGGGAAAAAGATTTCAACATTAATCTTATTTTATGTTTGACTTAAACTTCAAGAACAAAGGGGCAGAGTCACGTGACGGATGAGCTTCGGGTAATCAGATCCATCAAACTCAACCCCAGTCCACTCTCGGTTCGAAGTCACATTAACAGAGGATTATTTTCCTGATGGACGGAAACAGACAGGGAAAAGCATTAAGCAGCTCCTTGATCTGTCTACGTCACCATAACCACAAGGGTTCCTATCTTTCCCAGCACAATAATACTTGACAGCCAAATCATTTATAGAAATTAGAATAATTTCATTAACTTTAAATTTTAGAGAAAATAACTTATTAAAGTATTTGCAGAATGTGGCTTAGAAAAGAACCACAACAATGCAATAAAGGGAGTAAAAACTGAGAAGATAAAAAGGTGTGAAACTGAATGTAGGCCCCATTAGCTCCCCATCAGGAAAAGTAAGCCACTATTAGAGATCCTTGAAATCCAAAGTACTTTGCATGTAATTTTATTGTTGCAAAGAAACAGATGATAAACAAAATTTTAAAACAGGAACGTCGTGGGTAAATCAAGAAAAGCAGAGAAAAGGACATTAAGAAAACGATAGAGTGAGAGATGGTAGCATGCATTACCCGCTGTGAGTGTCAATCGCTTCAATCTGCCGTAATGCTATCCACAACCAAAGTGTAATCATGTGCCCGGGAATCATTGCTGGCCCAAGGAAAGAAGGAATTCCAAGGATCAATATCTCCGCCCAATGAGCATATGCTGCTGCGAAGCCTATTGGAGCCGCATATTCATGGTGAACTCGGTGAATCTTCTCGTACCCCCACTTCCCGTGCAGAAGCCTGTGAATCCAGTAATTGGTATAATCCTCGATCAAAAAATACATCACCAACTGTGCAAAAATTTCCCACCCTGACGGCAATGGCAACCCTGACCGGATTCCAATCATCTGGTGATAAATAAAAATATAAATTAAGTTTCGGAACACTAAACTCCGTTGCACGCTGTTATAACAAATCTAGAGGAACAAAGTACAACATCCCAATTTCAGGTTCAGGCGTCGTCTTTATAATTTGAAAGTAATTTAGATGGACTCAGAAGTGACTGTACTCATATATATATATATATATATATATTTAAAAAAATATTCAAGTTCCGAATATATGCCCGACTGGATGTAGTGAGTGAAACGCCATAGTATGTACAGGGTTATCAGCTCAACGGATCTCATTTAGATTGCAGATGCCAAGTGAATTAAGACATAATAGAATTTTCAAATATAAAACAGAGAGAAACAAAAAACGTGAATGGAAATCGTCTTATTATTCAAGAAGTGAGCGACAATTGCCAATCGACACAATTAGATTCGAAGAAACTCAAATCTGGCAACAAAAATATCGAACAGCCCGGAAGCTTACCTTGGTAGCAGGATACGAGACGAGTTGCAGAGGTCCAACGACAAGGAAAAACAAACGCATAACTTCCTTGTAGCATTTGAACATTTCTTGGAATGACAATCGAACCTTGGGTTGAATCTTGTACTTGTCCAGGCCGCCTAGGCGCTTTACCTCCAAAAGGATCAGAGGGACGGGGACGACGGAGAATATGAGGAAGAGGAAAAGAATGTTGTGACAATAAAGGAAGTAATCGGACTTCGTAGCGGAGTAATTGAACCAAAGAGACTCGGCGAATGTGAGATTCCGGCCGAGAGCGGCCTGAGCCTCAGAAAGCGAGTGGTAAGACAGCATTGAAGAAGAATATCGTCGCCGGAACCCTAGGAATGCCAGCCGATAGAGGATCTGGAACAAGCCAAATGGCGAAGAGAGGAAGGTAACAGAGAAGAGAGTGTAGTGTGGGACTATAGAAAGAGGTTTTGGGCTTTTGGCGGATACTGCGTGGCGACGATGCTCTGTGATTTGCGAGATTGATTTGCGGGAATAATTTTTAAACGCTTACATGTAGTTCTACTGTTGGATGCGTTGCCCACCTCGATTTCCAATACGTCCGAGACCACTCACAAATTCCGGAGCTTTTGTCCGTGAGTCTTCCGGGAAGCACAAAGTTTTAATGTCGAAAAACATTAATTAAACAAGTATCAATGCAAGTATCAATTAAAATGATATAATTGATAATTCTTTAATTCATAACTTAGATTATCAAATTAAATCTTGCCCCTGAGATGAACTTTATTAGTGCGATTTGTAAGTACCTCTTTTTAAGATAAAAAATATATCTTAATTTTGATCATATGCAATAAAAATAGTTAATTCTTAACTCTCATTAAAAATATGGAGAATCTCATCTAAAGCTTTCAAAGGAGAGAAAAACTGCATTTAAGACCTAATGCATTCTAAAATTATTATATAAACCTAATAATCTTTTTTGCAAATATATTTTAGAGAGAAAAAATATAATTATCCTTAGTGAAAAAAGCAAATATATTTTAGAGAGAAAAGATATAATTATCCTTAGTGAAAAAAGATAACAAGTATAAGTTTAGATTTTTTCAATTCTATGTTTATGAATTCATTGAAAGTAAAATTCTTATTTAGAGTTGACATATTCATTTTAACTAACTTAATAAATTTACAACTTCAAATTTAAATATTTACAACTACAAGTTTATTTATGCTTAAGTCAAAGTATAGAATTTATAACTTCATATATTCAGAACTAAAATTTACTATGACAGTAAGTTTAGAATTTTACAACTAGGTGTTTACAAATTCACAATTTTAGATTCACATATTAACAATAAATTGTCCGTTGATAGTGAACCTAAAGTTCTTTCTCACCAAGGATAATTGTGTTTTTCTTCCTAAAACATATTTATAACAAAAGCCTTGAGACCTACAGAATAATTTTAAAATGTATTGGGTTTTAAGTGCAATATTTTTCTTTTATGAGTCCTAGATGAGATTCCCCCTTAAAAATAACATGACTATCTCTTTTTGCATTTTAACCTTTTTACTATGAAGAGTGAGACTAAGTGTTAAGTCCAATTATATTTCAAATACCTATATTTTAATACATGGATAAATTTGAAAAAATAATTTCAAAAAGTACCAGATGTCTTTTAATTTAGACAAAGCTAAGTTAAAGAAAAAAAAAGGTCTTACAATGTAGACTAAAAGGAGTACCTACTTATAAAAATTTAAGAATAAATAATAATGAGAGTTGGGTCCAGTACAAGTGTCTTATAATATAATAAATTGGAGAATTACTGACGTTTAGTTTTTGATAATGCTTCATTTCAATAAAAAAATACATGTGAGTAATTAAAAAAATTTAAGAATATGATATTACTTAGTTTGGGGCAAAGGAAGATGGTACATGGAGAATTTTAATAAAGGACTTACGAAAAAATTTAACATCCAACAATTACTTTGAGAGATCAGATAATTGTTAAAAGTTGAATTTTACTTATTATTTCTTAATGTTTTCTTATTAGAAATCCTTATAACATGTCCAACAACAAAAAAAAAAAAAAAAACCCCGGGGGGTGTTTAGATAATTAATTTGGTTAAGAAAATCAATAATATTACACACTGTATTTTTTTTTTCTCCCTGAATACTGTGTATTCATATTTATACATTAGTTTTAACTAATTTATCAAGTTTGTCAACATTCTTAAAATTATCCTATCTTCCCAAAAATATACTGATTAATTAAATGCACGAAATTTTGGCAGATTAATACGCATCTCTCCCAATCAAGGTTTTAAGACCCGGATCGATCCGGACGGTCGGACCGGTCGGACCGTCACCCACTGAAGAAAACGGGCTGGTTCAACCAATTAATCCGGATTAGCAGTTGGCCCGGGTTGGCCCGCCTAGAACCGGACGGTTTTTAAAGACCCGGGAAAAACCCGGAACTCGGAGCGGGTTTTACGGGTCAACAGCGGGTCGCAAAAAAATGACAAAATTGATATTTTTAAAAATAAAAAACCCTTCTCCTCACTCTGTCTAGCAGACCAACACCTATAAGGACCCATTCTTCTTCTTTTTAGTCTCACTTCTTTCTGTCTTGCACAATGCACGCACTCATTCTCGTCACCTTCTCAAATCTCAGCCATCTGGGTTTTATTCTATGTGTCATCTCCCTCAAGCCACTCAGCCTTCTAGGCTCTGTCTTCACCGTTCAGCCATCTTAGACTCGCCTTCTCAACCATTTGGGTTCTATGTTCACCCTTCGTTGTCTTCACCATTTAACTTTAGCCATCTCAAACTCTCTCAAACTTCAAATGCTTCTTTATTCTTCATCTTCACTTCACTTTCTTCATTTTGGTTTGTGACTTCGTGTTCTTGGTTAATTCTAGTATAGGCATCCAGTTGTTGAAAGCAGTCAGATGGCGTCGAGCTCGACCCCTTTCATGATTCTTCATCTTCTTTGTTGATTGCTCTCTCTCTCTCTCTCAGTCCCGGTGAGATTTTCTTTCTCCCTCATTTATATCTCTACCCAATTTAATGTAATCTCTATGGTTCTAAATGGAGTAGAATGAATGCTAATAGATGAGCTTGCTTTTTATTATCTGAGCTGTTTATTGCAAAATGAAGGATTGTTGAATGGATGAAGATGAATTTATTTTTAATTGTCTAAGAGTTGTTTATTGCAAATAGAAGTTTTATTTTTTTCAAATAATTATGTCTAAATCTTGATGCATTCAAGAATCTAGTGTTGTATTTGTTAACTTGTTTCTTTTATATATATAGATATATAAATAATTTTTTATTTAATTATTAGGTCACCGGTCCAACCGCCGATCTGACCGGTTGAACCATGAGACCCGTGACCCATTGATATTTCCGGTTCGCTGTCCGGTCCGGGTTTTAAAACATTGTTCCCAATCCATCTCTCTGTCGTAATATTTCATAATTCATCATTTTTCAATAATTCCATAAGAAGGGTGTTATTGACAAAATAATTAATTGTTTCATAAAGTTTTCAAATAACTTGTGAATAGAAACTTAAAAAAAAATTATTTCAACATCATACTAATTACTTTAATTGCAAACCAAGAACATAAGTTGAAGAAAATAATTGATACAACAAACATCTCCCAAAGTAACTTATATTTGAAACCAAAAAACCCACTAGAATATTATTACTAATTGAAGAACAAATATAAATAAATACATAACATCAGTAAGGTTTCCAATTCAATTTAAGTGTAATAAACGCAACCCAAAGACTATTTTACTTTTTGGGATCATCAATTAGGGGCGTGGAATATCAAATATTTTTTATTGATTTTTTTAAAAAAGAATTTCCCTACATCACAACAATTTGATCCAGTGGACTAGCCCCCTGAATTCATCCCTAATAAAGCCAAGAACATTTAGCTGGATCTTATTATTTTATAGTTTTCTTTTGGCCATGGTATCTTCTCATATTAATTAAATAAAAAAATATGTAACTTTGTTAAATAAATTAAGTTAAATTATTATTTAATCTTTGTTCATGAACAACATATTTTAGCCCAAACAATCTTTTAGGATTAAAAACCAAATTTACACAAACTTTTGTTGAAGAGCATTACAAACTATAGTAAAAGGTGGGACAATATCTCTTGCAAATAATTTTTTAATGAGCAATATTACTCTTCTATTAAACTTTTTTTTCACCAGAAAAAAGTATTAGGATTATTTTACGTACTCCCTCTGATCTAAAATATATAGTTTTTAGAAAAAATTTGCATATCAATAAAGTCTTTATTCTCATAAAAAATATATATTATTTTTCTTTTTTTACCTTTAATTTTAATTACCAATACACTTCATGATAATTGATAGAGATAAATTCATACATAATCTACATTAATAAAGACAAGGAGTAAAAAGGAAAAAAAAATTACATGTACCAGGTTATATATTTTTAAATCAAGATTAACTGAAAAAAATGCTTATATTTTAGATTGGATAGAATGTGATGTAAAAATTAGTTTTTTCTTATTATTTTTATCCTCTGTTTAATGTCATGGCAAAAACGTACTTTTAACTATACTAGACTCCCCCATGCGAGATGGATGGGAAAGATTTCACCATATGTAGAAAGTTATTTTAATTTGAAAAATAATAATATATCATATTTTAAAACAGAAATCAACTAAATTTATTACAAAGTTCCAATCAAATCAATTTACAACAATAGATTAAATGAGTTAAAAGTTGTCAAATAGATCCAAATGTTATGAGTTGTTTTTGGTGCATATGCTCTCTTGATAATTATTTTTCCTTTGGAGAGGATTTCTCAAGATTCAATTAGAAACCTAGAACAGGCCTAAATGATGTTTATAAAATTAGTTATGCATTTTAAAGTTAGAGTAAATTTTGAAAAAATAATGTTATGTGTTGGGAATTCATAAATCCAAAATTAATGCCTTTAATGTTCCATAATTGGACTAGACTAAGCTTGAATTTTAAAGGCACTTACTCCTACCTAAATCTTGATGGGCCAAAGAAGTGAATATGAAGTTAAGTTTCAATCCCTTTGAGGCCATTATCCAAGGACATTGAGTCATAAAGGTTCTATGTTAAAGTTATAGAACCTCATGAATGGTATCCTAGAGGCCTAGGGAAATTGTGCAAGCATGTTCACCAAGTATGGGAGAGCAGTATATGACATATGCTACCATTGACTTGAAGTTAAAGTTTATCTTTGAAAGTTTATATAATGCATGCAAATTAATGTATGAGTCTTATGAGAGCTCTAATAGACTTAAGGAACAAGTACTTAGCCGAAAGCATGGGGACAATTTTATGATTTCTCAAGCTTTGTCCATGTTAAAGAATGCATATATGTTGCTTATGTGTTATTAGATTGTGGGTTGTTAATGAGTGATACCCAATTCAATCATTTAGAGCATGATAAGTTTGAAAGCATTGCAAGAGAATTTTAACAAGGTTATGGGTTGAGAGAGAAGTCCCCCTTAAAGTCATGGGATGCCAAGTCAATCGTTATTTAGAGTTAAAGTTGTAAT